CAACTAGCTTTTGCCTCGAGATTCGTGCCCGATCAAGCTAATTTTGCATGACGTATCAAATAATAATAATAATAATAATTACTGGTTTTATATTAATCTCCAAATATCTTTTATATGATAGCTATCAAAATTTATAAATGTTTATAATACTCATAATAATTTTTTTTCTAAAATTTAGTTTTTTATATTAATTTTTATATAATAATTTAATAAATACTTTAATGATCGCAAAGGCAACAAGGCAGAGGTGTAAAAATGGGCTAACATATCAGGTTCAAGTTTAACCTTAATTCAGTCAACTAGAACTCAACTTATTTAATAAATAAGTCAAAATGATCAACTTGGTCAGATAACTCATTTTAATTAAAAAAAAGTATCAATTATAGAATTTAGGCAAATTGATAAATAATAATAATATGATTATACCGAGTAAAAAATTTTAAATAAAAAACTAAACGGATCATTCGAGGGTCAAAATCAAATTCGTAGCCAGCCTGAACAGACCCTTTAATAAGCAGGTTAGAATTCTAGACCGGTTTATTAAACTGTTCAACTTAAATCGAAAATTATTTTTATCGGGTTGAGCCGAATTTACGGGTGAGGTCATTTTTTGACATCTCTAAAAGAGGGCATCATTACATCACTATCTTACATTATAATCTAAAGTCTAAAGTTTAAACGGTGAAATATTTATATTCGAAAAAAAATATATATAAAAAAAACAAGACAGTCGTAAAGCTCATGGAGAGATGTGAAATTTGAATTTGATCATTCATTAACAAAGTCTAAGCACCATATTTTTACATTAATAACTGTTAATTATATCATTAAATTTTTCATTAATGATTTTTAGGATCATAAATTGTTATGGATTTTAATTACTCAAATGGAGGACTGATTCTTATATTCAATAGGGTTTAACAGATAATCGTAAATAATATGCTGGCTTATGTAAAAGTGGTTAATTTTTTTTAATGATGGTCGTTTCTGCGTTATTTTTAAATTATGATATTTAATAAAATTATCATTGCTTATTAGTCATTTTAGGCTTAGGTCGATTTTCTAATTTCTTCTTAAAACAGTTTTTTAGTACAAATAATTTAATATTTGTACTACAAAAGCTGTTTTAAGAAGCAATAAAAAAGCAGTCCCAAATCAAGCTTTAGTTTGGGACATCTTTTGATCATTGGCCTTTCGCTATTTAAAAAAAATTGTGCTAGAAAGCTTCTATGAAAAGCAAAAAAAAAAAATTATAAATGAAGTCTTAGGATTGTGACAACTTTTATTTTTTGTAAAAATGATTAGAAAGCAAGCTATTATAGGAAAAACAAATTTTTTGAAAGTTACTATAAAAAAGCTTCGTAGCATAGAAATTCCTTAAAAGCGGCTAAAAAAAATAGCTAAATAAAAGCTATAATTATGATCTGAAAATACAAAATAATAAGAAAGTTGTCTCAAACGAAAACCTTTAACCTTTTTACTACTCAATTATATTAAGATTTATATTGATTTACTCATCAATTAATTTTGTCATTCAGATCAAAATTTTGATCAGATGGAATTTAAAAGTCTTGAATATGCTTTGAGATTAGTGTAATATATAAGTAATTAATATTACACAAATCTCAAAGCAGATCCACGAGCTTTGAGCCCATCTTGATTATTTTGATTGGAATATCTTGACACATATTTTTCCGCATCGGTTTTAAGCTAATTCCAACCATTTAATTCATTGAGGGCGAGACTTTGGATTAGATTGGATCGTTTAATTGAAGTCATTAGCAACATTAGCTAATAGTTAATCATTATTTCAAGAAGAATGATTTTCTTGCACGATCTTTAAAGATATAGATTCAGAGATATAACCCAAAATATCATATTGTTGGCTCAGAGTATGTGAATTTTATTTATACTCTTATTTATCAAAGCATAACATATAATTCTCATTAAAAAAAAAAGGGGCTCAAAATCATATTGAATATGCTTTAATATTAGTGTTGTTGCGCGCTAGTATATTCACGGTGGTAGAGTGAGAGAATTTTTCGTCCTAA